GTCAGCTTTTAAGCTTTCTTATAGGCTGTAGTTTAGGTCAGTCAGCTGTAGCCTACCTCAGCACCTTGCCATGTGGCTAAGTATCCTAGTTACGAGTGCTAAAAGCTACATTTGGGATGGTTTAATCTTTGCTACATCCCGTTCTCAAAGGATTCAGCGGTATTGTCTGAAATTAAGTGGCAGTAGCTGAGAGATGGGTTCGCCTCCAGAAAACGCTCTTGCGCCCTCAGGCATTTAATTCAAAACAGTAATCAAGTTAAGTGAAAACCCTGCCTACTCAAATATTAGCTGTTTGTAAGAATTATAAAGCATTGTTTGAGAATTTATGCAGTTGTTGGTTAAGGGTTAATGGGTTAATCAACACTAAATAACCCCAATTCAAATTATCTGGAGTGTTAGATTTTGACATGTAATTGTAGACCTGCTTAATCTGGTGCTTTTTCAGACAAAACGTTTGGCCCGTTTTCTCTTATGGTGGCCGAAGTTCCAGTCCATTGCTAGTAAACATTGTTCAACTTTTAGAACATGCCATTCATGTGGAAACTGAGCAGCTGAAGCTGCTTGTTTTTATTTCTGTTTTTTGTGATGTCATAAAAATCAACTCATTTACATATTCAGCCCACAGCAGATTAGGTCTATCCATTCACACTGTGATGAGTGATGAGTGTTTCAGAGCGGACTGTTTTTGGAACGAGGCACAATACAGGCCAGCCAATCAGAACAAAGCTCATTTACACAGATCAGTCTTAAAGGCACGGTAACAAAAACAGTGTGTTTACTCCTAAGAGTTGAATGGTCATGTAAAAATGGTCATAACCTTTGTGTGGTGTTGGTGTCTATGGGACCCATTTTCAGTGTTTACCCAAACAACAAACGATGTGATTTATTATTATTATTATTACAGATTTCTTGGTCTTTGCTCATTTTCTGTGAAGAACATATAAAATAACCCATTTTCAGTGTCTTCACTCTGTTCACCCCCCACACATTTATATTACACATGTGGCGTTGGGGTGAATCAGCAGGGAATAACAGTGTGGAGGTGCTGTGTCCTTCACTCTGTTCTCCTCCTACATGGCCTGCTGTTAGTGTGTGTGTGTCTGTGTCTGTGTGTGTATGTGTTTGTATATGCGTGTGTGTGTGAGGGTGGACAACATGAACAGGCTGCTGACTGGCTACAGCTGCTAAAAGAGAACCCTACACTGGCCACTTGTGATATTTTAAACATCTGGTATTTTTACATAAATTGTTATGACTGTATTGATTTAAAAAATAACAATAACGCGGTGGGTCCACCAGACCACTGAGTAACAAACACATCAACACCACACAAGAGTTAAAACACCTGAGGAACACATTTAGTTATATTGGACACTCATGTATGTGTGTAATGACAATCATTCTAAATGGAACTGAATTGAACTGAAAACGTCCTCAGCAATGTGAGCCGTAATGATAACGGGCAGACTGAACAATGCAAAGAGTGCAACCTTTCCGTGACCTCAGTAAAGCTCTGTGTGCAGTCATGGCATGTATATCCCCCGTCTGCTGTTTGTCTCTGAGCTGTAATTTAAACAGCATTTGCTGTGCAGTTTAGAAAAGCAACGAAAATTACACAGTGGGGACTTGTTAGGCAGAGAAAATCCACGTTTTGCAAGCTTTTCCCTGAGCTGGAGAGAGGAGCACAGGAATACACAGTACACTCCTCTCTTCAGGCACTGAGTTCTGAAGCTCTTTGGAGCCTCAGTTACTGGCAGCACAAACACACACACACACACACACACACACACACTCACAGGAAGAGAAAGAGACAGAGAGAGAGAGA